ATATTCTACAATAAACTCTTCCTGCAATTTTCTATAAAAATTTATTTTCCTCCATGCCTTTGGGTTACATATTGTATCATTTCAACATTAATTTAAGAGCTTCTCCAGAATCTGCAGACTGCTTTTGTGTGCTTCCCCTTCAGCACGATACACATTCATTTCAGTTGCATCTGTATTCTGAGAACACTCCAGTTTCAAAAGGAATAGTGCGAGCCTGACCGGTCTGATTTTTCTTAATCTTTTTCTTGTGCGTGGGTGTTCTTTGATGCCATCAAAATAACAGCCTCAAAATAAACAGACAATAATAAAAAAATAAACGTGAAAACATAACACTAGAGCACGCTCATGATGTGCATCCTCTATATTACTGGCACTCAGGTTAAACACTCCCTGCCATTAAAACAAGTGCTGAATATCAACTTTCCCATCTACTATATACTGTCTTGTCAATGAATGAATGAATCAATCAATGTGGCTGAAAGCTTATCATCAGGTTTGAATGGAATTAAATTCAATGCTAAATAACTGCAGTTCACCACCACACATATAAACCATTGGGCTGATACTTTTTTTAGTAACAAGTTTAGTTTTTAAATACACCAGGGGTGTTTTGTCTAACCTGCCGATTTATACATGGAGGCAAGAGAGTGAAGGATGATTTATTAGCCCATATTGTGTTGGGGCTGTTTTTACATACAGCACATTTAAGACACAACAGTGCCACCTGTATGTAGAAGACAGTCAGCACAACACAACAAGACAGGTAGCATAAATATTCCCAATTTTTTCCCAGCATATTCCCAATTTTTTAACTTAAGTGTCTTCATATGGAGGACTAGGAGTGCCACAGTGTATTCAATAAAAATACTTTTTCAAATTATACCATTTTAAATATCAATTTATACCAATTTGATTGATAATTTTGATGTATTATTTACATTTTTAAAAACCTTTTGTGTTCAGTGTTTATTTGTCCAATTCATTTTAAATATCTATTTTTAAAACATCTATTAAAGATATTTAAAACAATTATTAAAACAAATACATACAGTTTTAAACATCTATTTATGCATGTCTGATTGGTGAATTTATTATTTTACATTTACTTACTTTTTTGTTTAAGCGAATTGGTCTGAAAATCGGCACAACAGCCATGTTGCTCTGCAAAACAAGGCTAGAAGTCTGAAGTTTGGGAGGTGTTAGAACATTCTACATTCTCACAGAATGCAGAAGACTTTATTTGAAAAGTTTAAGAATGGCCTTGAACATGGTGCAACTTTTGTATGCATGTTCTGGTTTGCAATGAGTTGTGACTATCTGCACAAGAGCTGAAATACAGGAAATACAAACAGCGATATAGTGATATAGCCATATATAGAACTACAAATACAGTTAAGAGTTCAGTATAGGGTGTTCATAATGCTTTATTCTGACTCTTTCATAATGCTCTATATTAACCTCACAAACAGACACGCAACGCAGAGCCTGTCGTCAGTCACGAGAGTTCACAAGACTGAAGCCTATCTGAAGAAATAAAGCAAACCAACCATAAAATCATATGCATAAAATCATTATTTGTTAAATACACAGTCATATTATAGCACCAACATGAATGGTCCGTGTTGTAGTCCCCCTTTTTCCATTAAAACTCTTTTGTGAGCTGACAAATTTAAACAATCTTACATGGGACTATCATCAAGAGCAGCATTCATAAATGTACACTTACATTTTTCATTATATAAAAAATGACAAGGAATGACATGGTGCGGAGGCGAACACAAACCTGACATATGCACACACAAAATGATGAACTGAAGAAAAGATTATCCCTAAAAGCCCACTCATATTCCTGTCACAAATGTTGGCAATATCTAGCCAGGGACATCAGAGCCAGTCAATGTCAGCAGAATATTTGCGTGAGGTCAAGTTAAGTGCAGCCATAGAACAGAGTGCTTAGAAACATATTTAAAAGCTCAGTGCTACAATTACTCAGTTAAAGGGCTTTTAAAACTTAACAAGATATTCCCACTGTTTGAGTACATGAGTGGAAATTATAAAAAAAACTGCTTTTAAAGCTAATACAAGAGTTTGAACATAACACATGGGTAATTCATTTCTATAATCTTGGGCCTCTGTGTTAAAAACATCACTTGATAAAAGCCCAAAACCTGGGCTTTAATATTTCCAACTTGTTCCAAAGACTTACTCATAAAGAACCCTGACCTCTTGGCACCAGATTTAAGAGCTCACTGATTATTTCCCTTTATTTCTTACTGGTGCCTACATTTTTCATTGAGAAAGCTATTACCCAGGACAACTGATGCTACATGAAAAGGAAAAAAGCAACTCAAAAGCCTCCCTGTTGCAAAATGATAAACAACGATTCTGTACAGATGCTCAGTTTAGCATAGCAGTCGCTTTAAGAGGCAGATTGTACAACAATGAAGTCTAGCGCAGCAAAGTTGATAGCTGATTACATGTTAAAGCTGGATGTGTTCATCGGATGATTGGATCTACACTGTACTTAAGTCATTTTTTAACTTAAGAAATGGTAGATTTCATCTGTGATTATCACATAAATTATTATATTTACACATGATTGCAGATACAGAAAAGTTGTACACTTCGGTGTAATCCATTTTTTGATATGTATGACATCATCAAGGCAGACTTAAAGGGATAGTTCACTTAAAGGAACACTCCACTATTTTTGAAAATAGGCTCATTTTCCAACTCCCCTAGAGTTAAACAGTTGAGTTTTACCGTTTTCGAATCAATTCAGCTGATCTCCGGGTCTGGCGGTAGCACTTTTAGCTGTAGCTTAGCATAGATCACTGAATCTGATTAAACCGTTAGCATCTCGCTCAAAAATGACCAAAGAGTTTAGATATTTTTCCTATTTAAAACTTGACTCTTCTGTAGTTACATCGTGTACTAAGACCGACGGAAAATGAAAAGTTGCGATTTTCTAGGCCGATATGGCTAGGAACTATACTCTCATTCTGGTGTAATAATCAAGGAACTTTGCTGCCGTACCATGGGTGCAGCAGGCGCAATGATATTACGCAGCATCTCCGGCATAATAATCAAGGAACTTTGCTGCCGTACCATGGGTGCAGCAGGCGCAATGATATTACGCAGCATCTGAAAATAGGCTAACTTCCGTCAACATAACCAACATAACCACCTGCTTGCACAGGGAGCGTGCTGGGGACTATTTTCAGGCGCTGCGTAATATCATTGTGCCTGCTGCACCTAATCAGACCTAACGGTCTAATCAGATTCAATGATCTATGCTAAGCTACAGCTAAACGTGCTACCGCCAGACCCGGAGATCAGCTAAAAGGATTCGAAAACGGTAAAACTCAACTGTTTAACTCTAGGCGAGTTGGAAAATTATTATTTTCAAAAATAGTGGAGTGTTCCTTTAAAAATGGCAAATCTGTCATCATTTACTCACCCTCATGTCGTTCATAAGCTTTCCTGTCAAACAGAACTGAATTTCACTATAAGTCTTGGAACGGCATGAGGGACATGAATGACATAAATGATGAAAAGATATTAATTTTGCATGAACGATCCCTTAAGTTCACCTGTCTGAAAAGGAATACAGTGATTCTGAATGCCATTTTTTGCTCAATAAAAAAATACTAATAATACAAATAATAATAACAATTACCTGAAATGCCTCAGGATGACTCTTTCGCACATTTCCATGGTGTTTGACAGCAACATATGATCAGAGAAGCACCTCAGCTTCTGTTCACATATACACTGTACATTTATGAAAGAAAATTCATGTCTAACCCACATCAAAGTCAAAATGTTACATTTAAAAAATAGGTTGAAACATGTCGTACATTTTGTTGCAACACTACAGTAAAGTTCAATTCGTTTACATTTGTTAATTCATTGGGTATGTCAACTAACATTTTTACAGCATTTATTAATCTGGGCTAATGGTAATTTATAAATATTCTATTGTGCATTGTTAATTTATATTTGTTTATAACACAGTAATACTAATTCATGCAACTTGAAATATTAAAAAAAGTGTAAACTACCATTGAAAAGTTGCCCTTGAAGAGTGAGATTTTTAAATGTTTTTGAAAGTCTCATGCTGAGCAAGGCTGCATTTATCTGATCACAAATACAGTAAAAACAGTTATATTGTGAAATATTATTAGAATTTAAAATAACTGCTTTGTTTTAATACATTTTAAATTTATTCCTGTGATGTCAAAGCTGAATTTTCATCATTACTCATCTTCAGTGTCACATGATCCTTCAGAAACCAATTTAGTATGCTGATTAAGATTTTGTATCAATTAGTATTTTTGTAGAAACCATGTCTTTACTGTTAGTTTTGATCAATTAAATGCATCCTTGCTGAAAAAAAAATATTTACTTTCTTTCTTATGGACCCCAAACATATAAACAGTAGTATACTGTATGTAGTAATTATCATTAACCTAGATTAATAAATGCTGTAAAAGTATAGCTCATTGTTAGTTCATGATACCCAATGCACTGAATGAACTGAACATTATTGTAAAGTGCTTCGCATTTTCTATGAAAATCATAAGCTGACATTTGTGTAGAATCAGAGCAGCTTTTCATTCTGCTCTGAAAAGAGGGAAAAACAAGAAATTTTGGGACTAATGAGACCTCTCAGTTTACTTGGTCCACAGTAAGAAATGTACTGTACCAGTATAGTTGTTTTAATTAACTTGACTTGCTTGTTGAGAAACAGCACCTGGTATGCATTACTATGTTTGTAATGCACCATTTTTAACTGCCTAGTAGTGTATCCTGTTTAGTTCTGATTTAGGCTGCCAAGGAGGCTTTCCAAAGATGACGTGAATGGTCCATTGCTGAGGAAAGTTGCATTTGTGCCTGTTATTTGCTGGTTGCAAAATGGAACTGTTCATAGTTGTACCCTGCCAAAACTGTGTGCGTACTGTATCTGTTCAGTCAAAAGCACAATGCTGAATTCTGTTTGTTACTGACCTCCCAGGTTAGCGGCCTTTGAAGTAGCTCTCAAAAAAACAAAAAAAAACTGAATGGTTCCTGGTTACAATGGTAGTAAATATCACAGAGTTGCAGTGACTCCACTTCACCAGCAGGTGGCGGAAGTTCACAGGGATTTAGACAGAGTCCATGGCTCTGAAAAAATTGGAGCTCATTTGACTGTGACTTAATGTTTGTCATGACGCCCATTTGAAAAAGCATGATTTACACTTATAACTCATCTGCATAACTCTGGCTTGAGGACAAATGACTCAAATCCCAGAAAGCAGCTGAGATGACTCGCCATTTGATTAGAGCAGTGTTCAGTATCAAGTAATCAATAAAACGCTTGTAGACTTAAAATTAGAACAAGGAAATGTTCTGGTCAGTAAAATGTCCCAATATACAGGCAGACGAACCACGCAAGTAAAAAAAAAAAAGGTCTGGTACTTGTCCTTAAATGACCAGAGTGTGTGGGGGGGCGGGAGGACAAAATCCTGTACTACAACAAATGAGTGTGACAGTAAATACTGTGAGTGGATCCATCTGTGTGTGTTTGTAGGGTGCAGAGACAGGTCAGTATTTGTTCTGTTTTAGCTTGTCGATGTGGTAGCAGAGCTTGAGAGCCGGGCCCAGTTTGAGTCCCAGGTACTTCATGATCATGTCACTCTTCAGGAGAAGAAGAGCATCCCCATCAATCTCCTGAAGAAGTAATCACAATGTGCACAACAGAATGTTTTACAATACTGCTAAGTGAAGATGTCATAAAAATCTGGTCCAAAAATGATAATTATTTTAACAAATACTGTGATAATAGAAACTAAATTATGTGAGCGGCGCAGAGTGGAAGTAGAGCTTAAAAACAACATAGTAAAGAACTTTGCTGTGAAGCAGTAATGCTACAAATATTAACTAGATAAGTTTGAAGACAAATTTTAATGTCTGAAAGTTTAAAATAACTTTTAAAAGCTTGAAGTTTGAAGGCTAACATGTTTAGCACATTGATAGCATGTTGCATCTGATCTAAGTTTGGTGGTCATGGCTTGAAAGCTCTAGGATAATTTACTCTGTCAAGCCAACATGCTTGTATAATATTTATAATCCAACTTAAACTGCACATTCCACCTGGATAATCATATTCATCTCTCCCTCTATTTCTTCACTTGTAGCAAACATGTGGAGAATTACATAAATGTGAAGCTAAAGTGAACCTGCAGTGCTTTCCAATTATAATTCATACATACCCACCATACTCCGAGCACCTACTGAGATGGACTCATTTCCACATTTAATTCAATCACAGGTTTTTGCACTTTAATAATGCGCACGATTCCAATTTCAATTCGGCTAAGTGTGCAGCCCTGGATGGAAGAGTAAATTTAATTTCATAAGTGTTAAATTGTACTTTGTTTTTGTTCTAATCTAAATAAGCAATGTGCAAAAAAGTCTCATGTAACATTCAGCTCAGGTTGTTATTTCAACAATTATGTGAACCTGAATTGCTTCTGAAAGCGTGAGTTGTGAAAACACACAGTTGATCATATCCAGGGTTTTCTAACTCGAAACTGAACTAATGTTACCCACACAGAGATTTCTTATCTGACGAAATGTTCAACACATGGTGTTTGTTTGCCACTAGTAAATAAATGTGTCAATCAAACTCACATGTTTTCTGAAGAGATCCACGTGAGGGCCCAGCGCTTGAGGGTCTGCATCCTTGATAAACCACACCACCTCATCCACGCTCCACCTGGAGGGATCCTTACTGGGTGGGGGCTTTGCCTCCCCTCCCTCTGGGGATGGACTGTAGGCTAGATAAAGAGAAATCAGGTTCAGAGATGGTAAGGATTTTATTCTTAGTTGCCATCAAATTTTGGGCAATTTCATTTCCAAGTTGAGAGGATAAAAATACTGAGAAGTTAGTTGTTAATCAGTATATACCAGTGGTTCCCAACCTTATCGAATCCAAGGCCCTCCATTGTCCACAAAAGAAGACCCCATGACTCAATTCAGTTAGTTTGAAGATTTTTTTTTTTAATGTATCGCTCAATTTATACCCAATAAAATATTTTAGAGCTTGGCATAATTAGAAAAACATTTTCTGCTCTAGAAATCACACTTTTAAAATAAGACTTCCTCGTATATATAATTTTCCATAAATGTGAGAATCCAGGTTCTTTTAAGACAAACAATTAATTAAAATAACATTATATAAAACCACTAAAAATCTGAAAGTTTCTTAAAGGGTTAGTCCACCCAAAAATGAAAATTAGCCTGTGTTTTACTCACCCTCGAAGCATCCTAGGTGTATGTGACTTTCTTCTTTCAGACAAATCCAGTCTGAGTTATATTAAGAATTGTCCTGGCTATTCCAAGCTCTATCATTGCAGTCAGCGGGTGTTGCAGTTGAACAGTCCACAAGTCGTCAAATAAAGCGCGCACATTCGTAATAAAACGTGCCTCACACGGCTCTGGGGGAGTGAATAAAGGCCTCCTGTAGTGAATCCATGCGTTTTTGTAAGAAAAATATCCATATTTCAAACGTAATAAACACTTTTCTCTCACTTCCGGTACCTGTTAAACGCGGAAGGCGTTCCGGCGGATGACGCAGCACGTATGTGCAGCGCGCCTCTGAGATATGCTAGTCTCGCGAGTTTGTTTATAGGAGCAAAGGAGGCAAAGACATTTTTCTTTACAAATCCTCGGTTTGTGCTTCTAATTCGTGACCAGCATTTTGTTTTGTTCTCTCTCCGCATTCGTCACTAATCACGCAAAGTCGACGTACTACGTCATCCGCCGGAACGGCTTCCGCGTATGACAGTGGATTCGTCTGAAAGAAAAAAAGTCATATACTAGGGTTGTGCCGATAGACGATAGTATCGTGTATCGACGATAGACAGATATCGTGTGTGGCTGATGCCTTTGACGATAGCAAGACTAGTAATACTATCTAATTAATATTAGGGCTTATTTGTTGCATTATATTTCTTTTTCTGCGTTTTTACAGTATTGCGCGTTCTAACCAATCACACACGATTATGCTGAGCTTATGAATGCAATGGCCAATTCTCTCCTCATTAACAACAGTGCAGATGTACGTGCGATGTAAGTATAAGAGATTTATTCATCATACAGTGTATATTCACTGATTTTAACGGGAGTGTTTTTAAAGTGCATAAACTCGCGCTAGACTGAGCTTGTGATGATGTTCTTTGGTAATGTAATGTTCTTTGCTCGTTTTCTGTAGCTGCTTTTTGAATAACTGAGGAAATGTAAGCATTATAATTAGTAACTTACGATGTTTCTATTCATTTGTTATCATGTTAAATACAAATTCAGTCATATTAAAAACATTAGGCTGCTTTTAGCCTTACGCTGGATTTGGTTCACGTTCTCGCAATGAAACTAAGTAAATAATTACATAAATTAGCACAATAATATCGTGTATCGGCGATCTCACAGGCTGACGATAAGACGATAGGAAAATTGAGCATATCGCCCAACACTATCGTATACACCTAGGATGCAGGCTAATTTTCATTTTTGGGTGAACGAACCCTTTAAGTCATCTTGAGGCCCCCTTGGAAGTTTGCTGAAGTTTCCCGGTAGTATCATTGGTTGAGAACCACTGGTACAGTGTATATATAGGGCCCTATGAAATCTGTTTTATTTTTTCCCAAATTCCGTTAAAATTTTTTCCAAATTCAGTTTTTTTCTATTTAAAATTTTCTGGGTTCTGTTTTTTTCCGTTTTAATTTTTCTAGACTCTGTTTTAATGGTTAAATTAAATTGTATTAATCAAAAAGCATGTCTAATTAATTTAAATCATGAAACTTACACAATTTAACAGCAATTTATTAAAAGTTGAACAGAAATTAAATTTTTAAAGCCTTATGAAATACGTTTTTTTTTTTTTCTGAAATATAGTTTTATTTTTGCCAAATTCTGTGTTTTCCAGTAATTTTCTGGATTCCATTTTAATTGTTCATTAAATCTGAATAATCAAAAGCATCTCTAAATAATTGATTTTATTAAAATCTTTTTTTTTTTCAGAAATACTGTGTTGTGTATTTACATTTTTCTGGTAAATAAATTCTGGTAAATAATTTTTCTAGTAAATATTCCTTAAAATAATGTTTTAATTTTGTTAGTAGTAGTACTATTACATTAAGTAATATATTTCTGTCACAATTTAAACCAAACTTTTATTTTGATGGGTTGTTGTGAAGACCTTTAAATTTCTCTGTTTATATATGACAATAGTTTTTCTCAGAAGAAATGCTCATGAAGTACTCTCAGAGCAGTTCTAGAGATTATTCATGTGATCATGTACTCATTGAGTCTGAAAACACAGCGAGCATTTAAATAGTATTTTGCGGCTTATTATTCAGATACTAGTCCATATCGTGTTTTGATTTAAGTGTACTGACCTACTTTTGATTTATTCATCCACAATTTGGCAAATTCCATGACATTCCACGCTTATACAATAAACTCCATTTCTATGACTGGATAACGTAAATTTTCCACATCGCGGAAATCATAGGCCCTATATATACCATTTAGTTTTCAGTGTTTTGATTCTTTCTTGATGTCTTCTCACATATAGTGAGCATCTTCTCATCTAAAAATATAGTTTTAAAGTAGTGTGGAAACACTATTGCTGCTTCTGTGAATAAGTGGACATTTCCTCTCTTACCACTTCTGTTTCCTTCCTGGAATGTGCTGGGACTGGCTGCCTGCCTGCACACACCTCCAGAGTAGGCAGTGGCAGAACGAAAACCGTACGCAGGTTTACTCGCCGTATACGGTGAGGACATCGAACCATAGGCAGAGTCACTGGGGTCAACCGAATAGCGCTTGGGGTCCATTGAATCGCCATGGTAATCGTCCACCATGGAGTCTGCTGCACAAAAAGAAATACAATTTAGGGAAAATAATGCATGCAAAGGCATTATTTGGCTCAGGCTAATTATTGCTTTCTTGAGTGCAGATTGCCCTGCATGGTCCTGCAACCAAATTTTATACATACATGCACAATGAATGGTAAGAAAACACATCTTTCTATTTCTTTTTTCACTCAAAAGCAAACATTTTAAAAACATTAAATATCATTAATGACAGGTTGTTCAATAAATATATAAAATCAATTAAATGAAAAAGTAAATTAAAGAAAGAATTACTATAAATAACCAAAATAGTATTTTTATGTAGTTGTAGTATTTTTTTAAATGTAGTTTATGTAGGTCAAATTATGGGGTAGACAGTGGTTTCTGCCGCAGCAAACACAGCTGTCTGCAGGAAACACTAATATACATACAGTGTATATAGGCACCTTCGAGAGTAGGTTTTCCTCTCTTAACCACGTTAACCATTGACATGGGATTGAGTCATGACAGAACCTTTGCCTGTGTAGCTGTGTGGCAAGATTCAGTGTTATACTGAAGTTAACGGTCTAATCTCTAGAGCTCCAAAACCACATTCAGGCAGGAAAGAGAGAGAGAGAGAGAGAGAGAGAGAGAGAGAGAGAGAGAGAGGGAGCCAACAGAATTTAAACACTCAAACCACAGGCCACTCACAGAGGCACTCAACCTTTCACTGCTACTTAAAAAGCTCAGCTTTCGCTAAAGGCCTCCTCTGCATTTTCAGAAGGGCAAATTTGACAGCAACAGAAAAGAGTGCAGATGCAATAAAATTGCCAAATTACAAAACATCCAAAACCAAAAAGACAAAAAACAGTCTAATATATAAAATCTAAGTTATGCTGTGTCGATTGTATAGGGACAGATGTAAATACAGCTCTATTAAAGGGTAGAAGAACAAAGGTCACGTAAAAGCTTGATGAGCACGCACTTGACTTGGGCTGTCCGTCTGAGTGCTTTTCAGTGTGGAATGAAGAAGAGGAGGAGGGAGACGATGAAGGGGCGATAGGCTGGTCACTGAAGAGGTTCTCACACAACAGGCTTCGGCACAACTTCTTGAGGAAGCGTAGGACGTAGCCCACGCTGTTGACCACTGGCAAACTCAACAAATGCTGCTTACCATCAAAGGTGGCTGAGGAAGAGAAACAAAGAGTGTTTAAATTCAAGTAAATTGCACATTGTTGGAAATTGTGTTAATACTTAAGCAGCAACACTTTATTTCACAGAGTCTGCGTTATACATATTAGACATTACATTCAGTATTACATCAGAGTGGCCGATGCAAATGCGAATATCTTTTAATATATGCAACATTTTAAATACGTACTACAGTTGTTTAAATTCATTTGTAATAATTCGTTAAATTTTGAACTTAATATAAAATATTAGGGATGCACCGATACCGATACTGGTATCGGTATCGGGCCCGATACTGGTCTCCTGTACTCGTACTCGTACTCGTTAAAATGCCCCGAT